CTGCTGCTGCTGCTGCCTCAAACGAAAAACACACACAAAATAATAAGAACAAAATTCATCAGTCCTGTCAGTGCGTCCGGGAGGAGAGCAGTGGTCCACTCCGGCAGTTGGAGATTTGTAAAATCTAAGTGTCCTTGATGGTTCTCGGTTGCTTGGCAACCGTCTTGAAACTGACATGGTGCACCTGTAGTGTATTCATGTTTCAGCTGTTCTCTGATACAGAGAATCTCTTTCCTGGATGGAGCCTTAGAAATCCATAGGTTTTTAATCTAAGTAAATTATGATACAAAGTCATGAAAAAAGATAATAAAGCTTCTCACCTTTTCCCGTTGTTCTTCCTGAAAGACTGAGGGCGGTGATGTTCTTCCCCTGGAAAGTCAAAACAAGCAGAGTTAGGTCGAGACTGTGCGGTGAGGGGAAGAGGCGGTCACGTGTTCCTCCCTGCTCACCGCCTCCTAAGCCAAAGATTCTTATTTTTAGGAGGGGAGAGGGGGTGAAGCGCTTGATGGCGGAAGAGACTTCTGCACTCCGGAAGGTAAGAACCCCATAGAAGAGTACCCCCCTGTACTCACTATCTCAAAGATAATAAAATATGGAAGACAGACTACCTCGGAACATTTTCTTTAATAACATACAGATCTTCCTCAACTTACGACGGGGCAATGTCTTGATAAACCCATCGTAAGTTGAAAATATCATTAAGTCAAAACTACATTTAATAAAGCTTACCTCCCAAGCGTCATAGCCTAGCCTCGCCTACCTGACATGTGCTCAGTACAGCTACATAAGCCTAGAGTTGAGGAAAATCATCCAACACAAAACCTGTTTTATAATAAAGTGTTGAACAGCTCATAGTTTACTGAACACTGCACTGAAAGTGAGAAACAGAACGGCTGTCGGCACGGAGTGGTTGTCAGCATCCGGCTGTGGACTCTCGTGATGGCCTGACTGACAGGGTGCTCGGTCACTGCCGCCACCCTGCATCACGAGAGGACCTCAGCCCAGGAAAAGAGCGAAATTCAAAATTCGAATTATTAAATGTGCATCACTTTCCCATCATCTTAAAGTCAAAAAAAAAATCGCAAGCCAAACCACTGAAAGTGAAGGACTGCCTATGTTTAAATGATTAAAGGTCACACCTGGGAATGTTCAGACAATCCACAGGACATTCTAAAGTGGTAGCTATCACACAGCTGTCGATTTCTATATTAACGCTGATGACTTATTCACAATTCTTGGTTATTGTGACAGCAGCTTCTCTTCCTTCAGTGTCATTACCAACTCCTTATGTGAGCAAAAGGACCATCTGCTTAAAAGGAAATTTGAAACAACGAACAATTACCTTAAAATTGTGGCTTAAATCAGAAATATGGACTTGCTCCTACAGTTAGTAGACATCAGTGTCCTCATTATTTGCTACTGATTCACCGTTTTAAAATGGGAAATTGTTTTTAAAAACGTACTAAGAATGACTACTACAAGTAAATCTTGGGGCATTCTACTAATTTCTGCTTATGACAATAAAAGATCGGATGCCACCACCGTTAAACGATATTTGGACATTTAGCAGATATTTGAATGTCTTCGTGCTGTTCTGAAGTAATCTTTTTCTAGACATATTTCCCCACTGGTCACAGGGTGAGTGCTAGAAAGGTCGTAGCCTGAAGACTGTTTATCTCCTGGAGACACGGATTTGTTTTCAGGCATCTGACTCAACAGAGGGCAACTTACACATGTCTACTTCACAGACTGTTCTCTAATTTAGCAAATAAAACAGAAAATCTTAGTAAATTATCCACTTACTGCAGTAAAATTTCATATTCTAAATTATGAGCTCTCATCTGCTAAACACATTTTAAGCAGTCCTCAATCAGAGCAGAAATGTCCATTTCAGGCACTGGACAGGGATGAGACAAGCACTCCAGACACGGATGGTGTTTCAGGCAACTAAGGAGCCATGGACTGGTCACAGAAGGGGGAGCTCAGAACTCGATGTGCTATGTCTGGGTGAGAATAAGTATGCCTGGACCACGATTTCAGACAAGAAGCAATCTTAACTGTCACGTGGGTCAATCATCACTACTGAGGTGAGGAAATTGAGAAAGAGTCTGGAATTTAGTGAGGAACCCAAAGTCATTAAAATTACTGTTGACAAAAAAATACAGTCAGACTCCTTGACTCCCACTATAAAACAGAAATCTGCTATCATCAGATTATATAATTGTTTACGGAAAGATCTATGAGCAATAATGTAAAAACTATTAGAACTAGAGAGAGTTTAGTAGTCACTTATTAATAAAAAATAAGTAAATAAATAAGCAAGCATTTTTGTCATATTTTTCAAAAGTCAGTAAAAAAAAAGAACAAAATATTTCATTCATGCTAGAAACATATAAAAATACCTAAAGCAAACTTAACACGAGGCTTGAATAAATGAATTGACGTAATGTAATTATAAACAACTCAAAAATATTTTTAAATTAAAAATGAGACCACTACACACTTACTAGAATGGCCAAAAGCCAAAACTCTGATAACACCAAGTGCTGGAGAGGATGTAAAGCAACTGGAACTGTCATTCATCGTTGGTAGGAATGTAAAATGGTACACTGACTTTGGAAGATGGCTTGTGGGTTATTTTGTAACCAAAACCAAGTGTACTCTTACCATTAGATCAGGCAATCACACTCCTTGGTATTCACACAAAGGAGTTGAAAACTCACGTCCACACAAAAGCTTGTACATGGCTGTTTACAGCAGCTTTATGCACAGTTGCCGAAAACTGGAAGCAACCAAGCTGTCTTCCAGCAGGTGAGCGGGTAAATAAATACTGGTATAATATTCCAGAGGCTAAACTATTATGCAGTGCAAAAAGAAATGAGCTCTCAATCCACGAAAAGACACTGAGGAATCTTCAGTACATATTAGCAGGTGAAGGAAGTCAGTAGCTGTGATACAAGGGTAAGGGGAAGATGATTCACCATGATGTTTATTGTGAAATATATTTACGAGGTGTTAGGAAAAGAAACAGGCTACAAGCAGTATGTAAATTACTCTTTTTTTGTAAGGTCAAGATGTGCTCACATAGAAAACATCATTCTCTTTGGGTACACATTATATGTGCAGGGTTTTCTATCATTTCTGTTTCTTGATCTGCCAATATTTTCCCTTAAAGTAAACATGTATGGCTTTTGTATTATAAATTGTGCTGTTTACGATTAAAAGTAGTTTTATTTGTCTTATATATTGAGGAGCTATGTGAGGTCACATGAAGTGAAGTTTTAGGTACTCATAAAAGAACTGATACTAACTAAAAAGAAGTATCTATGATTCAGAGATGCTGTTTGGTATTTGAGAAAATTTCAGGAAAAAACTGAATTATGGACGTTTGGCAAAGTGTTAATATCAACAGAAAAAATCCACCATCACTTTTACCCTTAATGACCATATTTTGTCAACAGAATTGGAGGTATAGTAGTTACAACAGAATTATAAGTAATATAACATGCAGTGAACATCTTTTCAGATAAACAGGATAAGAGTCGAATATAAACAATAATTTGTATCTAAGCAGTATCATAGATTTGAGTGAATACAATGCTAGAATCGGCTAAAAAAACCAGTAGGTCAATAGAAATTGAATATATCATAAAACTTTTATTCAAGGATACTTGGATTAGAAACAAACAGCACCAGAGTTTTGTACAAATCCAGGGATTTTATGCACTCAAAGTTAGACACGCTACTTCATCTTCTCGCTGATGTTAATTAAGTGCCAATTACGCTGCTTATTCCCATTTAAACTTAGATTCCATCAAATTCTGATTTACGCCACCTGCAGCCTAAATCAAGCACTCTTCTGGCAGCAATCAAGCTTCTTTGAAAATAGAAATCAATTGTTTCCACACTGGAAATGGCTACCAACTGCAGGGCCAGGAAGAGGGTTGAGGGGAGAAGGGTAGTCAGCTTGGTACAAACATTGAGGGGGCACTAAAAATCTCCGTAGCCATGGTTAATGATATTTAAATGCAACTTTTAAAAACATAAATTAATGCAAATCTTTAGCATGAGAAAAGATCACCTTTTAAAATAAATTATTAGCTGATTATAATTTATTGTAATGCAGAAAATAAAAATCTGCTTTTAAGTTAAAGTTTGATAAATGACTGGTGGGCAAAACAAAAAATTTTGACTGCAATGCTTCTCATCATTTATCGAAACCCTTCTGTAGTAAAATTTTTAAAGCTTGACTTTATAAGTTTTAGGAATAAAATGCAAATTCTTGGAAGACATGTCCAAATCATTACAGGGTCCACCAAATTAATGATTTAACAAATGAGTCCTTTGACAAGGTGGGCACGTTCCAAAA